AGTGAAGACACTACCTACGCCAATGGGAGAGCTTCTCCTGTCAGGATAGGTATTCCACTGCCCCAAGAGGCGGTAGCTATGTCTAAAGAAGAAGCCCTCCCGTCAACATAATATTGTCTATACGAGAGGTGTGGGACCTTGAGCAACATGGTTATACCGACATAAGTTGACTAAGCCTTAATATATACAATACTAAACATCCAAAACTACAAGCATCAATAAGCTTAGAGTCAGTAGAAACCCACAAGACTTTTGTCCGAATAATATATAGCTATGCATTTGGATATGGAAGCCATCTTTCATTGCTTACTTTGAAGCTAGGAGCTGAATTAAAAAGCCAATGCTCTCAAACAGCCTCTCTTTCTGTTAAGATCCTACAGACTCCTTTAGTTTTGCATTATGTACACAATGTACTCACTGGCTATCCATTTACCACTTCATTGTGTTTCAGTTACCTTAATATGTTCTCTGGGACTCCCGTAATCTCAGTCTAATTATTTATTTGACCACAAACAACACTGGCTGTTTCCCCCGTGTTTATCTAGATACATTCTAAAGTATAATTAAGAAAAAAGCCATGTCACATTTTCACACCATCATGAAGATGATAGTGAAACAAAGTAAAGTAAAATGATAGATTTTTTTTCATAAAAATTAGCAGACTGAGGAAGCAGAAAATGAGCTAACAAAGAACACAAAGCCCCTGTGCCAACAAAGAAATTAGTAAGCAAACAAGTCAAACCACAGAAGCATAATAAAATGAACACAAGACAGAAATCAACACAGATCACAAGTGATATTTTGTCATGCGAAGGGAAACAGCAGACAAACTTAGGCGACTTATTTACAACTGTGATTTTTAATTTTATTTTAACAACTCTTAGTAACGCATGTTTCAGGTAACAAATGTATGATGTTTCTTTGGTTTGAAATGTGTACACAATAACATTTGAGACTAAAAGCAAAAGAGAACTGAAACCAAATATGGATAAAAAATGGTACATATATAAGGTTTTAAAAAGCATCTGAAAACAGTGTAAGTTCTTCAACCCTACAAATATTTCTGATTCAAAAATTTCTACTTACCTATAATATCATTTTCAGTCATGTCTATACAATAAAGTATGAATATCTTGCAAAGTTTAAAAGTAAAAAATGGAAAATAAAAATATATCAGAGAAAACCTTAGAGAAGTACTAATAGTGGCTGAAACCCTCCCTGCAGCTGAAACAAAGGCTTACTTTAAAAAACAATAAAAGATGGCCCCTTTGACCTTGGCAAATGTTCTTGAAAAAAAATAAAATGGTAAAAATAAAAATCATACCTTTCTGAATTTCTGCATAGTATCACACAAAATTTAGTAATCCTTTAGCACATCTTTAACATGAACTTCAAAATTCACTCAGATGTTAACATTATGTCCCTCACTCAGATGAGCTACACAACCCTTTCTTATCAAAATCTTTTATCCCTTTTCTTGCATTATTTACAGCTTTTATCATCAGTTTAATAGAAGTCCCAAAAACATTGCTATTTTTCAGCAGTGTTATATGAGAGATCATGAATCCCAACAAAATACCTTTTGGTCTGTAACAAAGCAAACAGTGTTAGGATTGTGGAGCTAACCTCACTTCTTCCACTGACTAGTGTCAATTTTGTGTGTTTCAACAACCCTTCCCCCTTTGAGTTAACTGAGGATCTGAAAGGTTGCACAAAATCATTTCTCGCTGAGCTGGGAATAGAACCCAAGTTCTCTATCAATGGCAGAACCAGTTCTCATCTGCTAAGGCCTAGACCCTGCACATTAATTCTAAATGGGTGAAATCTTATGACCACACAAAGCACTGCTGAAATCTGTATGAAAATTCTGTATCTATTATTATAAGAAGCCCCCAAGATGACTTTGGTCTTGTCTTCATTACAACAATTCGCTCAAATTACCTCCACCTGATTTAGCTCAAGGGACAGCAGGCACATCACACAACAATACTGGAGCTACAGAGTGATTATATTAGGCTTGGTCCACCATACAGACGTATGTCAGTACAGTAGAACCTCAGAGTTATGAGCTGATCAGTCAACTACACACCTCATTTGGAACCGGAAGTACACAATCAGGCAGCCACAGAGACAAGAAAAAAAGCAAATACAGTACAGTACCGTGGAAATTTAAACTACTAAAAAAAAGGAAAGCAGTATTTTTCTTCTGCATAGTAATGTTTCAAAGCTGTATTAAGTCAATGTTAAGTTGTCAACTTTTGAAAGACCAGCCATAAAGTTTTGTTCAGAATTACCAACATTTCAGAGCTACAAAAACCTTCATTCCCTAGGGGTTCGTAATTGTGAGGTTCTACTGTATAAATTATGTCGCTCAGGGCTGTGGAAAATCCACACCCGAGCGACAGTTATATTGACTGAGCTCCTGGGCTTCTCCCATCAACACAGTTAACACCTCTTGTGAAGGTGGAGAACCTATGTCGAGGGGAGAAGCATTCTGCTGGTGTCCATGGTGTCTTCACTAAGCACTACAGCAGCGCTGTTGCAGTACTGAATCACCACTGCATTACTAGCTCAATGAGCAGCAGCATTTGAGCCTCAATCCACACCCAATGATGAGCCAACATGCTTAAGTTTAAAGCACCACTTTACTCGAGCTAGCAATTTGTGTGGGAACAAAAGTCAGGTTGAGGCAACATTCAAGTTATACCTTGTGCTACCACTGGAGTAAGGACAAGCCCTAGGCTAGAAAAATTTGAGAAACTAAATGTTTTATTTACTTTGTGCAGTTGGAAGCATAGAGATTTTCATAGTTTCCCCAGTAGAGTCAGAATTTGTTTATGTGCATCTTTCATAGAACAAAAGGGAATAGAAAACCTTTTTAAAGAAAGGAATATATAGTTATAAAACCTCCAAAATTGGCAGTGGTGACTCCTCAGCAGTTAGAACCTGAAACTACTTCCAGTTTGTATTAAACTTGCTAGATTTCAAGTTGATGCTGTCCCTTTAATAATTCAGTTTAAAATACACCCCAAACCAACTATTAACATATTACTCTAGAATTTATTTTCTGGATTTTAAATATCAGAATGGTTTTAGGATTATGCCCTTCTTCTGCAGAAACTAATGAAGGTTATCTGAGAGAAAGGAGTCTCTGCAATATCTGCCTTCAAAGGCTAGTAAAGGATATTTCCTCCCAAAAGGTTTCAATAAGACAAGGTGAGTGAGATAATATTTTTATTGGACCAACTTCTGTTGGAGAAAGAGACAAGATATCAAGCTACATGGAGACCTCTGTATAGCTCAAACGCTTGCCTCTTTCACCAACAGAACCTGACCCAATAAAAGATATTACCTCACCCACCTTGTCACTCTAATATTCTCGGACCAACACTGCACACGAGGTTTTGATGAACTGACATTGACAATAGCGACACCTTCAGAGCCACAGATTCAAAACAGAAATATAATTAAAGCATTAGTCTATTAACAAAGATATCCTCTCGCTGCTATAGTCAAGTTTGTTGTTTTGCAAGTACCTAATCTCATGATAAAATAATAGAGCAAGTAACAGAAGCACCTCACCTTAATGTTTGCCCTTACTGTTGTGGAATACTGTAGTGTTTTAAAGTTATCCTCCTTCAAAACTCATCTCAAATCTCTCTTTTGTCATGATGCCTGCTGACATGCCAAGATCACTGCCTATTATGCTAACCAATAGTGTCTCATTGTTTCCTAGTACTCCCTTACCCATTATCTGTCCCTATCCACCTGTTAGCTCTTGTTTTATACCTAGACTGTATGCTCTGGGGCAGGGAGTATCTTCTTGTTCTGTTCGTACAGTGCCTAGCACAACTGGGTCCTGGTCCACCACTGGGGATCCTAGGGTTGCTAACCCTCCCAGTTTCACCGGGAGTCTCCTGGAATTGGGGGAGGGCAGGGGGTCTTTGCCGCTGCCCCTACCCCAACACCGACTCTGCAGCTCCCATTGGCCGGGAACTGCAGCCAATGGGAGCTGCAGGGGCAACGCCCGCAGGCAGGGGCAGCAGACGCAGTCCCCTGGCTCCCCCTCCCAGGGGCTGCAGGGACATGCCAGCCGCTTCTGGGAGCAGCACCAGGACAGGCAGAGAGCCTGCCTTAGCCCCACAGTGCCACTGACCAGAAGCTGCCTGAGATAACCCCTCCTGCAGCCAACACCCCAACCCCCCTCCATAACCCTACCCCAGCACTGAGCCCCCTCCTGGAGCCAGCACCCCACCCTGAGCCCCCTCCCACATCCAAACTCCCTCCCAGAGCCTACACCCCACATCCCCTCCTGCACCCCAATCCCTTGCCCCAGCCCCAAGCCCCCTCCTGCATCTAAATACCCTCCCAGAGCCCACACCCCCCTCCTACATCCCAACTCCCTGCCCCTACCCCATTAAAGTGAATGAGATTGGTGGAGAGCAAGCAAGGGAGGGAGGGGGATGGAGTGAGCAGGGTGGGGCCTCGGAGAAAGGGCACAGCAGGAGGCAGGGCAAGGGTGTTTTGGTTTATGTGATTAGACAGTTGGCAACCCTGGGAGTTCCTAGTGCTACAATTATACAGCAATTAACAGAAATAATACTAATACATGCTCTCAGTAGGGACACACATGTGCAGGTGGGTAGGGGGGGGGGCGCTAAGCCTCCCCAAACCCAGGCCCTAGCCTCACCCACGCTCCCGTTGCCCCTGATGCCAGAGGCCTGGGGCTGGCCGGGGAGGGGCGTCTGGGGCAGGACCTTGGGCAGAAGGAGGGGGGCTGGCCTGGGGCTACACGTACGACCTCTGACAACATCCCACTGTTAGTGAACCTGTAACCCACTCCTGCAGAGGAAGGTGAACGACGGACTCCACGTTACTCAAGAGCCTGCAGAAGCCGCTACGGCCTCGGCTCAGTTGTTGTTCCCCAGACCAGACACCCGCCCTCCCGGCACGCGGGCGGCAGGGGCGGAGCCGGCGGGGGAGGCGCCGCGGTTACTTACAGCTCTGGTCTCGTAAAGCACCAGCTTCTGCACGCAGCGGATAATCGGCGCTGCCGCCGCGGTGGGCATGGCGATAGCGGGGTGGGCTCCGGGCCCGCCCCACGGCAACGGGGGAGGGGAATAGACGTTTAACGGGTGGGGAACGATCGAATTCACGTAGCGAGCCGCGCCCCCCAGACGGGGCTATCGAGCCGCTCGGGGGGCTCCAGCACCAGGGAGAGCGGCAGTGTCCAGGCCTCTGGGGCAATAGCTGCCGGGGAAGGGCCGCGTGAGACCAGAGGCGAATTGGAAGCTAAGGGGGGCGGCGCACCCGGGCAGACCCTGCGGGGAGAGGGCGCTCACGGTCACTTCCCCACTCTAGGAGCCGGAAGCGCGGCTGACGCGGAGCGCTGGCGCTGCCCCGGAGAGCGCATTAGAGAGCGTCGGGCTACCGCGCCCCCGTGATCCCGTCACGTGACGGAATGAGACCGAAGCCTTGGCGGCCATTTCAGGTGTGGGTGCCAGTGGGCTGCGGCCGTGAAGCGGGCTCCAGCCTGGGGGAAGCGATTAACATTGAGGCGCAGTCACCGGGCTGCCGCCGGGGGAGAGGGTGTCACTGGCTACGTAGGGGCAGGACCCCATTCCCCCACGCTAGGGGTGCTTTCCCCCCCCCCATCCATCAGCACTAGTGACCGCTCCGACCTCCACAACACCACGCCCAGGGGCTGGTTGCCCGCTCTGGGCTACTCTCACGTTCACCGCTACGAAAAGACCCTGCGCCTATAATTCTCTCCATAGCGGTTAGGTGCGCGCCGCCGCCCGCTTTAAAAATCTGCCCCGTGCACGCGCGCGGGGAGCGCGGCTCGCACGCTGATTGGGCACGGGGCGCGCTCAGTTTCGAAGCGGAGAGCAGCGGGCGCGGGGCGGGGCTCGCTGGTTGCCATGGGTTACGAGGCTACACAAATCAGTGCCGGGCAGTGAGTAGGGATCCCGGCGCTAGGAAGGCGGAGGGACCGTTCCGTGCCTGTCCCGCGCACTGTAAGTGTTGCTGCCCCGGCCAGCACCCCCGGCCCAACCTCCCTCCCCGCTCCCGGCGGCCCCTTCCCCCCGGCTGCGTGGGGATGTGGCGCCGGGTACAGGCCTTACGGGGATGCTCCAGAGGGTCCCCCAGTCACCGGCAGAGCCAGAGCTGACCTGAGCAATGCCCCGTGCGGACTCCGCCGCCCTGTCCCCGCGGAGGGACCGAGTCCGCCGCCAACGGCCCCAGCCAGCCGCGTAACACCTGCACCCCGCCCCGCGCCTGGCTCTCCGCCGTGAGGTTGGTTCGTGATTCCCAGACTCCAAGGCCAAAATGTTTTACAAATGTATCCGCCGGAGAGGAAATGTTTAGAAACGTCATCAAAGTAATGTGTTAAAACTTCAGTGAGCGATGGCTTAATTATTTATTAATTAACTCCATCAAATAAGAAGCAGGTTGTACTGTATAGGACTTCCCGCCCCCCCCCCCCCCAACGTGACCGTCAACCTGTTTTGAAGGAGCTGGGACAAGACATTGACAGTCTCCTTAGATTTTGTGACAACCGCCCACCAGCCCTGCAATGGGATGATTCAGTTACTGTATAGGCAAAATAAACCAGACCATTTTCTCCCCAACCCCTTTATTTCATGAGGATCTTGAGTGTGCTACATTAACAACAAAGAACCAGACAAACTGCACTTCCCTTGCCAGAAGAGAAAACACCAATCCAGGGTGATGCCTTGTGGTATCTTGGTGTAGCAGCCTAGGCAGGGCATTGCTCTCTGTTGCCCAACCAGCTTCTTGTCTGCTTTCTCCATGTGGGGTTTGCAGTCTTTGACCCTGCCATGTAATTTTCCACCGTACAAGTAGAGGGGAAAGCTAGAGTGAAGTTTGCTGTTTGCTGGAGGCACTGTGGTGAGTGCATCTCATCACATTCAAAGGAGGATGTGAGGCCTGTTGCAGGATTGGAGTGAGCTGGGACCTGTAGGAAGATGATAGGGGAGGAGCAGAGATTTGTTTAACCTTAGAGACTCTAAGGTGCCACAAGGACTCCTCGTTGTTTTTGCTGTTACAGACTAACACGGCTACCACTCTGAAACTTGATAGTGCACAAGGTTAAACAATAGTCCCATTGACATTGATGGGCTACTTACTGTGTGTAAAGTTAAGCATGTAGTGTAGACATAGCCTAAGTCTTTGCAGGATCATGGCCCAATTGTGGAGGCAGAGAGTGAAGCTGTAAGGGTACTGAAGACCATAACATAAGGGAAACCGGGGAGAAGAGGGCAGTTGTATCTTGTTTGAGGATCACAGAGAAACAACTGCAGCCATGTTAAGAATCAGGGATTGAAAAGGAGGAAGTCTATCAAAATCTGAAAAGAAGTCAAGGAGTGCTATTTCAGATTTCGGGGGGAGGGGGTGCAACTTTAACCCTGACTCCAGAGGTTACTTAGGCATCTAAAAACTCTTGTTTTGGGCGGATAATGGGGAAGGGGCACAACCAAAAATGATACTCAAAGGGGTGGGCTCAGTTCAAAAAGTTTGAAATCTCAGGGTGCAGGGAAGGGGTAGCTAGGTGCTATGAGCAGAGAGGGGGGGTAGCTTTGGATGCAGGCACGGGGTGGCTGTGGGGGGTGTAGCTCAAGATGCTGGAAAGGGCTGCATCAGAGAGGGTGCTGCTGGTTGGGGGGCCAGCATGTGTTTAGACCCTAGTTGGCACAATGAGGGCAGCTCACTGGGGGTGGGGCGAGGGATACACTCTGCCAGCCCTGGTACATGGGGAGGAGGAGGATACCCCAACATCAGTCCCTGCCTGCCTCTGTGTAGCAGATCAGGAGGCAGGCTCCCGGTCCCAAACAGCATGGCCAGCGGTGGCTCCAGGACAATGGGAGGTGGGGGCAGAGCAGCAGCTGAAGACAGCAGCGAAGCAGGGGGAGAAGGGGTAGCATCTTCCCTCCTGCTGCAAACTTCACCCAAATGTGGTACAAAACTTGGAGGATAGGTGCAGGGGGCACCCCTATAATGGCACCCCTGTAATGGGCTTAATGAAGGTTCTGATAATCTCTTATTTTTCTGAAGTTATTCCCCTCCCCCTGCATTGTATATGCTCAATAGTTATATTTGCCTCTGTCAATATCCATTGTTTACTAACATAATCAATTGTTATTCACTATGTTTTCTGTCTGCTTACTCATATGTAAACCATGATGCCTGGTGTTATATAAATAACAGTTTATTTTTTCCTAATTTAGGCTATTTTATTTATGGCTTCACCAGAGAAAAAACAAGATTATCCCTTTGTAGATATATTTGATGAAGATGAAGCTGAAAAATCCTTTCTGTTGTCTAAACCTACATGCTTAATTATCCTTGGAAAGCCAGTAAGACATCCAATTTCTATGTTTTAATTTGAACAACCTGTAAAAATTATTTCCCCTCAAATAGGGATAAAAAAGAATAAAAATTTTCTTTTTAAATATTAGCTTAGTAATACAGTCAAAGCCATTCTAGGGCCTAATGTTTTGGAATGAAAATAAAAATGCAACAACTGTTGAGGTCAATAAGAATTTTAGGAATGAAGGATGAGGAGCCTAAATCCTGCATAGAGCTGAATGCCTTTTGCTTTCATTAAAACCAGTAGGAACTGAGGACACTCTTTGCAGTGTCACCTGCTGGCTCATTAAATGGACACAGATAATCAGGAAAACTGCTTTAATAAAATAAACCTAAAGGAATAGGGTTTTTTCTCTTATATAGCATGAGTATTCTGTATCTTAATATGATGATGACAATTGCGCAGCCTGTTTTGGTAGGGTTTGTTTTTTGGGGCCTAACTGACTTGTCAGTTACAATTAGAGGTGTTAGTACTGTGAGTAAAGGTCACGGATTTCTCCAAGATTTTCTTTTGTCTTTCAAAATGTCAGTGTAGAAGGTTTGTGTCGGGGCTCGGCCCTCCTGGGCAGGAGGGGAGCCACACCGATTCACTACACGCAGCCAATATGTTTGTTTTTATGTTCATCATATTTTAATATTTAAAACATGATTAATTACAAATTAAAACAAATATCAGTAATAGACAAAAAACTTTCGATTGAATAAACTGAGTTACAGAAACATATGATAATATTGAGTACTATTTAGATCTTCTTTGTTTAAATAAGACTGCCCTTTAATCGGGAAGAACTGGAATCCACCAAGGCATCCTAATTGAGAGGCTTGTATTGTGTTATTGTTGTAATTTAAGGGCTTCTCTTTTTCCTTAGAAGTTATGTGGCCTATTGGACCAAGACAAGATAATTAGAAAGTTGCAAGTACGTGTGTTGTTTTCCTTTGAGCCACTAGAAGTTAAAAAGGAATGGCCTGCCCTGTTTTAACCTATAAAGGTTTCTCAAAAATTCTATCTTTATGCAAATATGGAAGCAATTTTATATTTTCAAAGTTAACTCAGCCTTAGATGTCATTCAAAGAAAATGCTTTCTTTTATCGTTGGGCATTGAAGCACAGGCAGAATGGACATTCTCAGCACGAAATGCTGCCTTCAGTGAATTTTTATTCTTACTACCTGGCACAGGCCTCATAAATTAATGCAACATTGAAGTTCAGAATTTAAATATGCAAAAGGCAGGAAATTCAAAAATTAAGCTTTTATAGAAACACTAAGTCAACCGTATATATTTTTCATTTATGTAATTTACTGATAGAGCAGCTATCACCATATTACAAGGCACTTCTTTTAAAGCTAAGAATAAAATTCCATGGAAGAAAACAAAAGCTAAGCCAAATAAACACATTTTCAGCATGGTCAGACTCAGGCTAGGTCTATCAGTATAATAGTACAGTATCAGCTAGGGTGTGATTACTTACAACATTATTATACTGGTAAAAAGCTCTAGTATAGACAGTTATATGCCTATTTTGTTCAGGAAATTGATAAGTTATACCAGAAAAATAACTCTTTTGTTTATTGAAGCTGTGCCTCTACTAGTGGGTGTTTGCCAGTAGACCTATACCATCAAACCCTTTCTAGGGTAGGTAAAGCATCAGTTGGAACTGAGTATGGATTTTTGGCCAGATGGGCAAGCTCCACCGTGGTTTAGGTGGTCTCACTAGCATCTGCTCATTATCAGGA